TTGGCTTCATTTTGCTTTTCAGCGGTACGAACCAGTCTGCGCAGACGCATCCGGGTGTTATGGTGTGTGGCTAAGGAAGCTTGGTGATGGTGGAGCTTAAAGATTCCAGAGACAATCCTCAATCTGTGATCTGCATATCACGTTGGTTTGACTGTCCAGCATTGAGGTTTTCTTCAGAAGTTACTGCTCTTCTAACTAATGTGTTCACAGTTGCTCAGCTCTCTTCTGTGGATGACTTTTAATTGACCTCGGCCTTGGGAGCTTCCCGCTGAATAAATGGCTGAATATTGAAAGCAAATGAAATCCAAAATAAAACCATCTTGCACTGGGATGAAACATAATTGGTCCTGCTCTATGGGGGGGCAGGTAGAGCAAGTATTCTGTTTTCTAAGGCATCCCCCCCCCAAACCTTAGGCCAGTGAGGCAGCAGGACTATGAGGCGAGGTTGAAACGTCATGTTTACGATATATACTGATGATTTGGTTCTGTAGTTGCTTACATTAAATAGCTTGTCTTAAAATATTCAATAGCATATCTGGATCTGCATTGTAACCTTGGTGGTTTGTGATAATACCAGAGCCACTGTTTACCCCACAGGGATTTTTAAATCCTAGTTGACTTTGACCAATCCTGCCATTTGTTTGCATAGCCTCAGGTCAGACTGGGCTACTTTGAGGCCCAGCTGTGGGGCACTGGCTCATTGTTTAAATTACTGTTTCAGCCCCTAGCTGAGAACTGGAAGGTTTAAGACAACTGAATTAGCCTGATTAAATTTGTGTTTAAAACAAAAGGCAGAGCACCAACTCCTTAGCCTTTTCCCTGCCTCCCCCCAAGTATAAACTAGGTTTTGTTTCCTTGGTTGAGGTAGCATCTGGAATTAAGTGACAAATACTGTGCAGCCTATCCATTCTGCAGTTAGACTGGAAAAGAACCAGCTTTAAGAACACACCTCTTTAGTGGGATCCCAAACTCCTCCAGACAATCCGTGCACTGGATTCTGTGTCTCAACTAATTCAGGCTGACATGAACTTTCAAAAGTCCTGGACAGAACAAGGAGTAGAACTCAAATCATGTGCTAAGTTCCATGTATATACTAAGCCCCACACGTTCCTTCTGCACTACGAAGTTCAGAACTAGAGGCAAGGAGGATGGCTGGCCTCTGTGGGAAAAGTGGAAGGTTCTTGTTAGGCTGACAATGACAAATTGAAGGTGAGTCCCTTTCATGTCCCAGATTGATCAGTGATAACAAGGCTCAACCACTCATGATAATGAAGCACGTGGGTTTTGCTAGACAATTTCTACACTTGGTTGGGAAGATGACTTGCAGAGAGGCAGCCACCAGTCTGGTGCCTGTGCTTGTATGTGGATAGCGTCAACAGTGAAATGGACTTCTTGCTGGTAGTGCCATAAAACTAGTTGGAGCTGAAGCTGTAGGTCTAGGTCAGTGCCTCCTGGGTGAGGCAGGAGACTTGAAGATGGTGGGGATGTTATTTTTTTCTATTGTTTTTCCAGCTTTTGCCAAACAAACCTGAAAAGCAGCAAAGTCTGGCCTAGCTGGGGGTTGTAAAAGGGCCGAGGGCTGCCTGAGGAACGCAGGGCTCCACGGAAAGTACTCCCCATTCACTGGCTGACTGTTGCTGTTCAGCTTTCCCTGGTCGGGGCTCGAGTCCGCCACTGGAGGCCAGGTCTTGGTGACACTGAGCATTCTCTAGCTCACTACATTTCCCCTTAGTTCGGGATTTCTATTTTTATTGGCACTGAAATAATGGGCCCAGCCTCACAGGTGAGATCTGTGCAGGGCAGAGGTTGAAATAAGGGGTCTACTTCCAAATGCTAATGTGAATTAGGACGTGGGGAGAAATCGGCTCAAATGGAGCCTAGTGCTGCTGAAGTCAAGACAAAGCCAGGCTTCCGCCCCCCACCCAAGCAGGTCACCTTGAAGTCTGGTGCTCAGTTAAGCCTGAGGCCTGCTCATCTCGCTGCTGAGTCTAGGACCTCTTCTCACTTGTCTGAGGGGTAGCAGCTCTTTGACAGGCCTTACTCGAGTCCTCGGATCTTCTTCCTGCCAGAGAAAGCCTTGAAGCTGGAGCACCCACTCCACCTGCCAGCAGCAGAAAGAGGTCAACCCCACAGCCAGTGCTGACCAACTTGGCCCAAAGCCCCAGCTCATCAGCAGGATCCTAGACACAACTGTACGTCTCTCCATAAGGGGGCGTGGGGGAGGGGTGACAAAAAGGTACTTTCTCAGAGCAGGGGCAGCACGAACGGTTAAGAGATGATTTTTTTTTCTCTTAAAAAACACTTAAATATGTTAGGTTAAAATTGCAAAGCAAGATAAAAGTTACAGCCTAATTGTGTACTTAAAAATACATACACACATTTCTAGAAGAGATACAAAAACATGACTTTTACCTGTCACAATTTACTCTTCTATATATTTGTATTTTTTATCACCATGAATTAAAGTTTTTCAAACTTAATTTTTAGTCTTACTCGTTTTTCAAGAATCTTGCTTTTATCTGGCTTACAGACATTAGCTAATTCCTGATTAGGAAAGAGCTCATCTGATGACAATTTCCAACTAGATGGGGGTTTAAAAAAAAAAAAAAAGCCAGTGTAAACTGAAACAAATAAACTGAGGTTATGAATTCTATTCCATCCCTTGGGATACTCCAGTAGCACCATTAAAGCACTATGGGGCTAAGCCAGGTCACACAGTGGTACACGGGATGTTCCATTATGGGGATCAACTGCTTCTGGTCCTAAACCTCGTCCAGTAATTTCACAGGCTGCCAGGTGAGCATTCATTCCTTAGCATTTGCTAGGCACCTACCTCAGCATGTGGTGGTGGCTCCAGCAAGCACCCAGCACCTGGAAGCATCCAGCTCTTCGTAGGCTTGATATTAAAGCAGGTTTTCGGAGGGAGAACAGATTCTGTTCACCTCAGCTGGGAGGCTTTCTGATGCCTTAAGCCCTGGAGTCTGGCTTCTTGCTCTAGTTCTGCGGCCCTGCTCTTACACGCAAGTACCGGGCATGTGTCAGTCTCGTGGATTTCTCGGGTTTTTAGTCCCGGTCATTGGTGTGGCTACTCTCCGACGCTCTGCACCCCTTTGGCAGGTGGGGCCACCAGAGAAAGGACAGCATGCTCAAGATTAAAAATGCACTTTCTCACAGGTGGACAGACAAGGAGCTGGGCCAAGGGAAAGCACCTCCACCTAGCCCAGTCCTATGAGAAAGGCCAGAAAGGATTCTGAATCCTTCCTCTGAGGATTCAACTAGCGAACCCTGTGAAGAGGTACCAACACCTGCTTGGAAGGTTTAATATGGTACTTAAGACTTTTGTCTTTCTGAATTCCTCATTGTCAACCTCCCCTTTCTCCACCCACCTTCCCAAGTGAGCTCTGGCTTAGCCACACAATGGCCAGTCCTCCCCTCCTGGGGTCTTTTACTCAGTTTAAATTAAAAGTAGGGAAAAACTGCACTTGAGAGTGAATCATCCATTTTATTTTATTTTATTTTGTCATGTGCTCACAGCATCTCTCTTTCTCTCTCCTCTCCCTGGCAGGTCAGAGATAAATTAAAAATAAAATCTACAAGAAAAATAATTTATAAAAGCACTTCCCAGGCTCATGCCTTCTATCCCTACTGCTCAGTTAGAATGCCCCCCAGTGCGGAGGAGAAGCCGTCCTTCTCTCCCCACAACTCACCCCTGCTAGTATGGGCTGACTGTACTCCGGAGCCAGGCAGGGGTGGGGGCAGCAGTGGCAAACAGTTAAAAATAAAGACACTGTGGTCCTGGAACCATCTGGCCACTTTGGCGCTCCCCTCTCTGCCTACCCCAGGCAGTCCTCCTGCCTGGGGCCCTTTGCTAAACTGGGGGTGTAGAGAAGCAGCCTGTGGCCGAGAGCCTGGGGGGTAGGTGCTCTCAAGCCCTCATTACATGCACTTCTCATTCTCCTAGAAAGAAACCAAAAAAAAAAAAAAAAAAAGAGAGAAAAAGGCAGACAGAGACCTCGGGACAGAGGAGAAAAATCCCAAGTGTTCACACAGTTACACGGAGTCTTTATGGCAAAGAGAACATTTAGCAGCTTTGAATATTGGGGTATCTCCTTTTTACTCAACACAAGCATTCTAGACCCTATAAGTGAAACAGGGCTCAAGCCCTAAAAAAATCAAAGCGCAAGAAATTCTAAAAGGACTAGTTTGTTTTTGTTGCTGGGTTTTGTGGTTTTGTCCTCCAGTGACATGCCCAGTGGTTGGCAGGGGAGGCCTGAGGGAAGGGTCACTCCCCAGTGTTGTGCTGAATACTGCCTGGCTTCTCCACACGCCCTGCCTCAGAGCAGCCCCCCAGAGGCCACAGGCTCAGCACTAGGGGTGCGGCCGGCACCCCAGCTGCAGCAGAGCTCAGGCAGCGGGGAGGGGAGGGGCGGGAAGAGAACAGCATTCGCATGCAGGCTCCGATGGAAACGTGGGGGCCTCAGCTGGGGGGCGGGGGAGGAGACGGGACCGGGCACAGAGGGAGATGGAGTGGCCGGGCAGTGAGGGACATGCTTGGTGTTGGGGCTGCTGCAACACGGCACGGGGGCCTCGTGACCCTTTCCTGTCCCCTCTCCTTTTTTGACCCTAGCCCCCCAAGCCAGGGTTGGGTCCCAGTGGCTCCTGTCGGAAGCAATGAGATCACAGGTCACACCCAAGAGCTCCCCTCTCCGGGCTGCCACAGGGCAGGAGCTGAAAGACCCACAAAGCCCCTCCCAGATCCCACCTTGTGTTCCACCCTCCCCTGGGGTGAAGTGGGGTTTACTCATGCATAGGGCCTAGGCCCACCTAAAACCTGCCGCCTGGTATCCTGGCCAGAGCCAACCTTAACCTGTCCTTTGATTTTCTTCCCGCTTTGATTTTTTTGGGGTTTTATCCCTCTTCCTTCCTTCCTTGCTTCCAGGAATGAGACTTTCTACGACTTTCCTCTCACAAGATTGCCCCCCGCCTTTACCCTCGGTCGGCCTCCAGCAATGCCAGCACCACCCCTTCTCTCGGAGGACACAGTAGGGGTGAGGACCCTGTCCACCCAAACGGTCTGGCTGCTTCCGCACCACCCCCGCCCCCCCCTCCCCGGGGGGAAGCCGAGCCAGACAGCGCCTGCGCCCTCCTCTTCCTGTCCACTGACCCGCAGTCCATCCCATCTGAAAAGATCTATTGGGTAAGAAGGCATTCAAGTCCCCACTGTAGGTCCAGGTCCAGGCCCAGCCCTTCTCCAGTTTCCATCCCAGTGAGCGTCAACCCCCCTTTCCTCCCCAGGCTCACTTTCTTCGGTCCTTCGGCTTCCTCTCCTGTCGCCGGGCCTGCTGGTCGGCCAGGGTGCGGGGGATGAGGAGGACACTGCCGTCCCCGGCATACTGGAGTGCGTACTGGCTGGGCGAGTAGGGCCGCCCGTTCTCATCCCGCAGCCGCCCGAACACCTCCTGGTACAGGCTCTGGACCTTCTGCTTCATCTGCCGCAGGGACCGGAGGAACTCCACCTTCTCCCGCAGCAGCCGGGCTTTATCGCGCTGCAGGTCCTCCACGTCCCGCTCCAGGTTCAGGATGGTGTCCAGCTTGCGCTTGCGGCAGTTCTGCGCCGCCATCTTGTTCTTGCCCCGGCGCCGGATGTCGCGGATGAGGCTCAGCTGGGCCTCGCTCAGCTGGTATTTGGACAGCAGCTCATTGAACTCCTCCACCGGCAGGTTGATGATTTTGTCATTGGTGAAAGGGATCTTCATGGCTCGGGCTCGATGCTCATCCCGGCTCATCTGCTTGTCTAGGAAGTCGGCCTGCTTCTCCTTGCTGCCTTTCTTGAGGGCGCCGGGCGCCGGCAGCTCAGCGGAGTCGAGGGCGCTGGGCGCCATGTTGTACGTGTGGTTGTGGCCCACGTGCTCCAAGTAGGGCAGGCAGGAGAGCTGGGCCGGGTCCTGGTAGCTCATGCGGCAGAACTTGGAATACTCGGGCTGGTAACCCACAGCGCCCTCGGCCTCTTCCAGATCCAGGGTCTCAGAGTCAGAGCTGTAGCCAACGGCGCCTTCCTCAGAAAAGGAGGAAGAAGCCGACGAGGACGCAGAGGAGGACGACGACGAGGAGGACGACGAGGAGGACGAGGAGGAGGACGAGGAGCTGCCGTCGGAGCTGCTCAGGGAGGAAGGGCTATGGCTGGAGTCCAAGGAGAGGCCTGAGTCAGAGTCGAACTCCTCTTCGAGCTGGGAGGCCTGCACGGGGTTGAAGCCCTCCTCGATGGCCAGGTCCATCAGGCTGATCTCGTCCAGCATGGCTTCGTCCAACAGGCCCCCCAGCGGGTCGGGCAGCTCGGGGCCCGCCGTGTCGTTGGCCGAGCCGTTGAGCTGGGCCGGAAAGAAGAGGCCCGCCAGGTTGGTGGAGCTGAAGGTGGAGTTGAGGCTGGTGGAATTGCTGGGGGCCAGCGGGAGCAGCGTGGAGCCGCCGGCCACAGGCAGGCTCTCCACCTCGGGACTGAAGAGTGAGAAGTCCTGGCTGCAGCCTCCCAAGGACGCCTGATGCAGGCTGACATTCTGATTGATGGGGGTGTTGGGGGCAAGGCTGTAGTTGGTGCTCAGGGGGTCTCCAGGAGGGGCACTGTACAGGATCTCACTCGCCGAAGTGTTCACTTCCATGGCCTGGGCTGGGGGGGGAGGAAGAGCGTCACGTTCACTCCGCGCAGACTCTCCCCCCCGGGGGCTGGGGGGGGGGGGGGGGGGGGGGTGGAGGGCTCCCACCAGGAGGCACCGACACAGGCATAGCTGCGCGGGTGGAAAGGCAAGAGACTGGAATCCAGAGCCCAGGGTCCATTCCTGGCCCTGCTCGATCCACCAGACCGACTAGGGCCTGGCAGAGATGGGTCCTCCCTGTAGAGCCCACCCCAACGCAGGGCTGACCAGCTCCCAGCTGTGTTTAGCCAGACTCCCCCACCTTGGAGGGAGAGGAAAGGAAGGAAAAACACCCAACCCTGCCTACCTCTCCTCAGTGTAAAATCCGCACAGCGAAAGGAACACCCAGCCTTGGAGGGAGAAAACCTAGCTGTACCGCTTTGCTGTGTGACCAAGGGCACATCACTTAACCTCTCTGAGCTTCAATTGCCTCACCTTTAAAATAACAAAGGGCTGACTAGATGACCGTAAGGGGCAAGAAAGCTGGCGCCGGCTGCAAAAACACACGGCACAAATGTCCGGTTTTAGAAATGCTAAAGCTGGAAGCATTCGGTCATTTGATTATCTACCTAAAGGGAAGGAAGAAGGCATACCTAGGGGACAGTCCTGTTTTAAAAGGCCTAGCCCTGGGCTTCTAACCCAAACCCCACTCCTGACTGTACCCCCTACCCCAAGGAGACACCCGAACAATGACCTCTCAGTGTCCCCACTTTACTATGATCAAAGAACGGCTCCGTTCTCTTCCCAGCGGTGAAAAAGCAGCTGAATACGAACACCCCCCACCCCCACCCCCGGTCCGAGAGCTCTGTGTCCTGCTCTGGTAATCCTACCTGCATTTCCATGATGGACATGAGATCTTGCCACTGCTGCTCCAAATCAAATGGCGACTCCGTCCCCGTCAGGAGAGGAGACAAGAGGTGGTTCTGAAGACCTGGGGGCTCACTCTCACTAGGCACTGCTTCTGTTATGCTGGAAATGTCTGCTGGAAACTAGGGCAAAACACCAAGAGGCTTTAACGGGGGGGAAGGCAAGACCACCGTCGCATTCCTCCCAGAGACTACCGGCTGAGGTTCTGTCTCTTCCTTCCTCTGATTTCAGCCCCGCAGCCAGGAGCAGGCCACACCGGGCGCTTGCCCGTCGGGCAGCCGGCACAGGGACCCACGGCGTGCAGGCTGCCCTGCTGGCTCGGTGGGCTCTCCCTGGAGTCCTGCTCACCTCAGCATTCTCCCCAAAGGGGCAGGTGGCCTCCAGCAGCCTAAGGCACTCTTCCAGGGACAGGGCCGTCTGGTCCTCCCCACCAGGCACCTGTGGCAACAGCAACCGTAAGTCTGACTGACCTGGGCCTTGGCTGCCTGCGGGCCAAAGCCTCTTCCCCAGCCTTTCCAAGGGGGAAGCTGAAGGAGGGCCGCAAGGGCTACAGGCCCACACTCTCCCTCTGTGCCCGGGCTGATGGCTGCCCCTGCGTCCCAACCTCCAGGGAAGAACAGAGGGAAAGTGGAAGCGTCCTGATGCAAACAGGAAGCTGCTAGGTGCTTTGCCTCCTCCGTGCCGTTCGTTACCAAGGCCTGGCCCCTCTGCCTCTGTTGCTCATCCACTCCCCCTTCCTCAGCCCAAGTGACTTAAAGACCCCAACCCAAAAGATACATTCGGATTCATCCCACAGAAGCGGCCTTCTCTAAGGAGAAGTTTCTAGAAGTGGGCAGAGGTGGGGGTACCTGCGCAGGGAAGCTCTCCCCAGTTTCTCCATCCACTAGCAGGTTTCGCGCCAGAGCCTCTGCACCCGCGCCTGACCAGGTGTCGTCCTGCTCCGCTCCATCGCAAAGGTCCTTATCCACATCGTGCTCCTTCTGGCGATGACTATAGTCAAAAATCTCACGCCCAGCCCCCAGGTCAATATCCTGTCGCCAAAGGATGTCAATCAGATCTATGTCCTGAAAGACAGATCACCGTGACTTTAGCTCTCGGATCCAGCGGCCTTTCCTAGCATCACTCCAATTAGTCCTGGGAGTGGGGAGCAGCTCTCCCAGCCTCTGTCTCCTCCACACCGACAAGGCTTCATTCATCCATTTCCAGATACCAGCCTCCAAAAAATAAAAAATAAAAAAAAAAAACCAAGAGCTAGCAAAAATTACCAGCATGATCAACCCCATACAAGCCTGTGGGCTCAGGATCAGAGACACAGCCAGGCCAAAAGGCAGGGCCACCTCACCGCTACACAAGAAAGAAGGGGGAAGCAGGAGACACTGCTCATTCTGGGAACGAGAATCCCTTCAAACTTGGGTTTGTAGGATGCTGGCCAGGCCAGGCAAGGGCGAACTGTCATGCAGAATTGCTTCGTGGTGGCCAGGCTTGCATCAGCCTATGGTGCCATTTCATTTGCATAAAGGGGTGGGGTGGGCCAGAGAGGAAAATCCCTGCATTTGCAACCACCTGCTGCAACCAATGGCAATGACAGGCTGCCTCCAGACCTTCCTAGAGCCATTCCCCCTTCCCTGGCTGAGGCCAAGAGTAAGGCTGGACACCCAAAGCCCAGGCTCACCTCAAGATCCATCCCTGCCAGCATTCCCACTCTCAGCTGATCCTAGCAGGCTGCCTCTGTCCCAGGAGAGCCTCAGGCAGTCAGATGATCCTCACTGGGCACCCCACCCCTGCCAAGGCCGGCCCCCGGTGTCCCCTCACACCAGCGCTCTCACTCCCTTCCTCACCACACCCCAGGACTCACTGGCGCTCTGTCAGTCAACCCACTCAAGGACATGGGCCCCATCACCGCTCAGCCACAGCTGCCACCTCAGGGACCAAAATTCCTCCTTCCCACTCTACCCTGGTGGCTCCTGATCAGTTCCTGCACCAACTGCCACCCCCAGAGCCACCAGCATAGAACCCCAATAAATAAGAGCCATTTGGGCTTCCTACACATGCCATCCCCCTGTGGCTGAAGAAATCCTGAACTCTTGCCTTCCATTCAGAGGTTAAAAAAGCACTTTCCAGAAAGCAATATCCTTACATGAGACCCACCTCCCCAGCTCTGACCAGGTACCCTTTCCCACCGTAACCCTCCCAGATCCCAAGACCTCCCAGGTGTACCTCTCCCTTCAGTCTCCCCACATACACCAACCTGAACAGAAGCCCTGGACCCAGGAGCAGAGGGGGGCTGGGCCACCCGGTGCCCAGCCAGCAAAGAGTTAAGGGGCCGGCTCCCTTTGGCATGGCCCCCACCACTGTGAGAGCTGCGGTCCAGGCGGGTCATGGTCTGCGAGAAGAGCCCCAGGGCAGCTGGTGCCGGGAAGCCGGACAGGGGGCTGCAAGGAGCTCTTGGCTTGCAGGGAGCACACCAGGCTGGAAGGGTGGCCCCTTGCTAGCTCCGAGGGGCCCGAGGAGGGTGCCCCGCCCGTGCTGCTGCCTGGGCGGCCCAGCCCAGCCCCCTTCCTCCATCCTCAAGCAGCCCCCTCCCACCTCACAACCCCAGTTCCACTCAGGCACCCGGCAGCCCCCACCCTGAGCTCACCGCAGAGGCTGCAGTGAGATGGGACTCCCACCCCATGCTCCGTGCTCAAGCTGCAGAGGAGAGCCAGCTCCCTCCAGGGCCTAGCCTCCCGCTCCTCCCTCTCTCCCCCTCCCCACGCCCCCCAAACTTGTTACCTAGGCTGCAGCAAGGAGCCAATCCCCTCCCCCTCCCACCCCGCAGGTCACTGCTGAGGCTGCGGAGAGCCAATCCCCTCCCCCAGGTCAGCAGCTGGGCTGCGGAAAGAGCCAATCCCCTCCCACTGTCGTTACCTAGGCTGCGACGAGAGCCAATCTCCTCCCCCAAGTCTCCGCTGGAGATGCGGAAGGAGCCAATCCCCTCCCACCGCCTGTTACCTAGCTGCAGCCGGGAGCCAATCTCTGCACCAGGGCAGCTGGAGAAGCTGCCGCAAGGAACCAGCCCATCCCTGGGCCGCCTCCGTCTCCTCAAGGAGACGCACCCAGGGGCGGGCAGCCCCACCCAGCCCAGTCAGCCAGCCGGGGTGGCGCAGTGAGAGAGCCCTGGGGGGGGGGGGAAGGGGTGCCACTCTCCCTCCTGTCGCATCCTGCTTCCCCAGCCCACTCAGGACTGGGCAGAAACCACTCCCGCAGCTTCTCGGGGAATCTAGTTCTTCCCTGGAAGTGGAAGGAGTTTTCCTGTTCCTCAGCAGGGCTGCGGCCGCTCGTCCTGAAGCCTAAGGATCGAAAGCTGAGGCCGGCCTGCTGTGAGCCAGGGGCTCTGTTCCCCCGACCCCAGGCCAGAGGAGATGAAGGAGTGCCGGCCAGGGCTCACCCCAGGCAGAAAGGAGCCTCGGGCCTGAAGGCCAACCCTGAAGGAGCCGCACACGTGCGCCATGCTCCCCCTTCACTCCAGCTTCGTTCAAGAGCTTCTCCCCCCGGGGCCCCTGGTCCACATCTCTAACGCCAGGAAAACACCACCCACAGAATCAGGAGCACAGTTCCAACGTCCAACCTCACTGCTGCACCCCTCGAGCCTAAGGTCAGGTCAGGGACAGTATGTTCTCCTTGGTCACAGAATGCTCCTCGCCGGGAGAGAGTTGTACCCAAGCCACCCCCTGCTCTGGGCGGAGTGCCAGCCTCCAGGGGAATCCTATCCCCGGCAAGGGCCTGGGCTAGGGCTGTCCATCGAACCGGCCTGGCAGCGGGGGAGTGCTGCCCCCCGGGGGGAGAATACCAGCTCCAGCAGCGCCTGTCACATGCTCTGGACCTGGGTATTTTTATCCCTGAGTTGCTGAGGAAATGTTGTTCTAGACACGTAATAATTCTCCCTTCCCCCACACCCAGCCTAGGGCCCTAATGCTGACCCACTCCCAACCCCCAAAGGAAGCAGAGAAGACTTGGGGTCAGGGACAGCACAACCTTCATGAAGGCCAAGAAATGGAAGAAAGCAGGGTCAAAAGTCTCATCCCATTCTGCCCCAACCCATTGAACCATATCCAAACTTCCCACCCCATCCCAGGAGAGCTCCCAACAGGAAGAGGAATGGAGCTTCACCTGCAGAGTTCCCAGGAGCGAGCCCAGTTACACACCCCACCCCTTGGGGAGCTACATCAGGGCAGAAGGACAGAAGAGGAAGCTGGGAGGCATACTTCTTCAGACCACCGTGCCAAGACTGAAGCCCATTTGAAAGAAAAGAACAGAGGAAGCAGAAAAAAGGCAAAGTTCCCAGTGGCACTGGAAGAATCTAAGAACTGAGGCACTGTAAGGTAACGAATGAATGCTCACAGCTCCCGTGCTCAGATAATTCTAGTCTTTCTCAAAGCAGATCCAGTGAGGCAGCTGAGCAGAGAGCGGCCCTGGCACTACAGACGTGTGGGGCCAGATCCATCTGACATCTGGGGGCTGCCCTGTGCTTTTTTAGTAAGTTTTGCAGCATCCCTGGCTTCTCCCCACCAATGGCACCTCTTCCAGTTGTGACAACCAAAACTGTCTCTAGACATGGCCATCTATCCCCTGGAAGGGCAAAATCGTCCCCAGTTGAACACCACTGGCCCAGAAAAAGCCACAAGCTCTGACAGGCACTAACATTCAAAGAAATGAGCTCAAAAACAGGCTCAAATGCAGGACAGGAGACAAAACCTGGTCTGACTGGTGGGCAGAAAAGAGCCAAGATCTGCAGCCCCTGTATAACTTTTTACATACCCTACCCCCGCTCCCGAGGACTCAGCTCTGGAAAACCCAGCCCAGTGCAATCCAGCCTTAGCCTTCCCTTTCCTAATGGCCAGGACAATGCAGCAAGCTTTTCTCAAGCTCCTTAAGGTTGAGTGGCAAGCCCAGGCCAAACACAGAGCTCAAAGTGGTTTTATCATCATGCTGGTGAGGTGGGAGCAGCAGGAACCATTCACATCGTTAAAGGCTTTCTGTTCCGCCCAGAACAGTGTGTCAGCCACGTGTCAGGAGCTACCGATCTCTGACAGCTCAGAGCAAGCTGACTTAAGCAGCGAATGCAGTTTCTCTTCTAGCTCCCAGCCCTCTCCTCCCTACTCCCTACTCCCTGCAGCACGCCTTTAAGCAAGGAATGGGAGCCTTGGCCCTCTTCTGGCCAAGAATAACCATCTAAATCTACCCCTTGGCTCAAGCCCAGGAGAGCCGACTTATCAAGGACCTTACAACAGGCCTGACCACAAAGGAGAACTTCAGGCTATGCTTGTGTGTTTTGATGTGGGGGGAGGTACAAGGCAAGAGTCCACAAAGTATTTGTGTCTTAGCAACAGATACACACCGCACCAAAGCCCATCACAACACCACTCCCTCCCCCACCCTGGGGCCTCCAGCAGTCATGTTGAAATCCAAGCAGTAAACACGCTGGCATGTTCTAGGAACCTCCCCCTGCCCTGACGGTACATTTAGAGGTGGGTCAATGGTTCAACACAAGGAAATGCTCCCAGCCCCCAATCCTGGTCTGACAATTCAGCTCATTCCCGTCAAAGAACAATGCCTGAGACGCCCCCCCCTCCCCCAGCCACTCTAGTTCTTTACAGGGGTTAGTACTATGACCTCGCCCCTTCAGGACCAGGACCAAGACCAGCCCCCGCCCCCCGGAAACCCCAAACCCTTCTTACCCACCCCGACGTGTGGTCACTAACCTCTTTGGTTAGGTCTCCACTGACTGGAGGGGCTACAGCTCCCAAATCCTCCAAATCTTCACTGAATCCCTGCTCCGTTTCGCTTTCTCGCACCCCGTTGTCTGGGCCTGTCACATCCTGGAGGCCACTGGAACTCTCGAGGGTGAGGCCTGAGCTGGGCTGGCTGCCAGAGACAGACCCCTCTGGATCCCGGTGGACCAGCCAGGCGTTTACCTCAGTGGTCGGCACCTGGAACCTGTCCAGGGCCCTCACCTGACTGAGGAGCCGCCGGGCAGTGAAGTAATTGTCCAGGTCTATGCTCTTGGGGTGGATACCATAGCCATCCAAGGTATTCCTCAGGTTGTGGAACTGGGTCTGAGTATAGGCAGAACTGGGCCCCAGGATGATCTCCCGGAGCGGGGGAAGCTGTGAGGTCAGGTAAGTATCCACGTCCACCCGCACCCCAATCAAACTCAGCAGAATGGTGAACTGGAGGAGTCCTTCCGTTAAGTATTTCTTCAGAGAAAGCATTGCTGAAGGACCAGAATGTTTATGCTTTTTGGTTTTTAAATCTTCCAAAAGACAAATCAAGGCCACTGCTCTGCTGCTCCAGCCAGCAAGTTACCCTCCTCAGTGCCAAACCCTGTATCCCACCCTGGCAGAACACAGGGGCTGAGCTCCCGGATGGCCTCAGAGGAAAGCACACCCTGTGAAGCCAAGGCCACTCTCCAGACCACATTCACTTTTCCCTTCTCAGCACCTCACCTCAGCATGTACAACTGTTGCTAACCCAGTCCAGGCCCTCAGGGCCCACGTGACTTACTGTCTCCACAGTCCACATACAGTCACTTCCTCACTCACATTAGTTGTCCTCTCTGTAGATTCCACTGCAGGCTGTTCTCAGGAACAGCTGATGGGTTGGTTTTGTTTTTTGTTTTTTTCCTTCTCCCTAAGGTTTATTTTCTTTGGCTGGAGCTACAAGCCTTTTGTCTTGGGTCAGAGTGTCCCGCCTCCTCCACACTTACCAGGGGGGTTTCCAGAGAAACCTGAAATGGGAATCACAAGAGCAACAGGATAAGATTCCAGAATTTTCACACCATGATCAAGGCAGAAGGCAGGAAACACGTTCAAATTCCACTTTCATATTTTATTGAAAAATAAGTCAATTATTTTACTCCCAAAGAAATGAAAACCAAAAATCTGTTATAGGCAGAACAACTACAAAAAGAAAATATTGCTCACAAAGGATCCCCGTTTCTGGATACTAAATTTGTAATACCCTAAAAGGTAGCTTGTTTTGGATAAGCAGATAATGCCCGGGGCATCCAAAATATTTTACATGTTGTCTGATTTACCAACCCTCCCCCACCCCATCCACACACTACCCAGCTTCTATTTTTAGCATGAGAAGCCCATTTCCTAACTTAAAGAAAAGTTGTATCCTCCATCTCTCAAGAGAAAACTGCCTACAATCCCTGTCCCTTCCCGTTTTAAAGGGAAGGGAGAAACTATTAATGGGAGAAGAGTGTAAAAGGACATGAGGGCTACGTTCAGGACACCACCTCACGAAATAATGTCTTTTGTTTTCCCAACTTTTAAAATATGATTTCCCTTTCCTCTCTCTCACATTAAAAGGGGGAAGGGAGCAGTGAGGCAGGAGGATTATTCGACCCAGAATTTACAATAGGCAGGTTTTATTTTCATTAATATGACCTTCTGAGCCTAAGCAGGATAAGGCCAAATTCTCAACCTAGATAGCCAAGTGGGGAGGGAGTAAACCTGCCTTTCAGTTTCTGGTCTCTACTTTTGAGCTTCCATTAACCTCACAGACCAAGACATAACTCTCCTCTTCACTGTTGTGACCCAGCTACCAACTTCATCCCAAAGGGGAAGAGGGACACACGGACGGACGGACGGACGGACGGACACACACACACACACACACACTCCTTATTTGGTTAAAGTAAACACAACTGCGACTCAGAATTCCTGCTTACACTACCCTCCCGTTCTCACGCCAATTTATTACTAAAACCTCCCAAGAGACAATTAAGTTCCAGAAACCGGACAAGGCCCCTTAAAGACGGAGTAAGGCCACAGGCCTCTGGTCTGAGCCCGGTCCCACCCCGCCCCGGATACCCGAGTCCGGCCGGGACCAAGTCGCCATGCCCGCTGTCGGTGCCTCGGCTTCTAGCCTTCTGGGGCAACAGCGAACAAGTGCGACTCAGGCGGCCTTGACCCACCCTCACAGCCAAACCCCACCCCGCCCTCCGTCCCGATGGCCCCACCCCGCTCCAGGCCTGGGCCTCACACCACGCCTTCTCGTGCCCTCAGCCCTCCCCAGTCCAACCCACCCCGGAGCTAGCTTTCTCAACGGCCTCGCGGCCCCTCCCTGCCAGGCCCAGGCCCGGGCCCGACGCGAACCCCGCTCGCCCGCCCGTTCCCGCCTCCAGCCCCCTGCCCCTGGGCTCCACCCCGCCGCCCTTCACCCCACAAGCCTCGTTCCCGCGGCGCTGCGCCCGCCCCCCCCCCACGTCGGGGAAAGGAATATGCCGGATACCCGCTGCAGAGCTCGGCGTCCGCCGCTGCCGCCACAGCAGGCCCTCAGCCCGAGTCCCGGCCTTGCCGCCGCCACCGCCGGCCGGCCTAGAGCTCCCCAGCCTTCGCTTCCCTCCCCGCCCCCTCCTTCCACCTCCCACCTTATTCGGAAGCCCGCCCTCCGCGTCCTTCCTAGGACCACGTTTCTCCAATCAACGAGCCGGGACCGCGGCCGTCGCCGGATGTCATTTTGATTGGCAGCCGAAAGAGCCCAATGGCTGAGTGTGCCTCCTCCTCCCTTTCCCGATTTCCCAAGACTGACATGGCCCACAGCCCAGTGGGCGCATAGACCCGCCCCGCGGCGTGGGCTCACCAGTAAGTGGGGCGAAGGCCCTACAGCCCGGCATTCTGGCACCTCCGCGGTGCGTCGGCCGCCCAAGCTGTTACAGGCGGGGCGCGGAGTAAAGTATGCAAGCTAAGCGCTACCAGTGCATTCTCCAGCTCGGGGATAAGGGCTTAGGGCCGGGGGTGAGAGGTGGTTTCGCTGCCGGAGCGCGGAATTCTCCCCCGCCCCGAAGGTTCCCACGGTGACTTGCAAAAGCCCAGTAAGACCTGAGGGCGCCGAGGCGGGACCCAGAGTGTTTCCCGCGGTGGCGACGCTCGAGCCGCCATATTGGGTGCTGGCAGCGGAAACCGCTATCGCCGTTTCCGCTCTGTGCAGGCCGTGGCCCGCGCCAGTCAGGGACGGTTGCGTCGCGGGAAGGGCCCAGCGGGCGGATTGCCACCACAGTGGTGGGACGTTGGCGGTGTGAGGGATGTGGCATAATTGGCGAGTTTTCTCGTGATAGGAACATCCCGTAGAGCTCCCCTTCCCCGTCTAGCCCCACCCTCCAACCCCCGCCCAGACTACCACCGAGTTCAGTCTTGCCTTTCAGAAACTTTCCTCGATTTCAGGTGCCGGCCAGTCTCACCTAGCCAACGTCTTTGTGATTTTCGAACATTGCTTTATTATCCCCAGCCTCTCTTGGGGGAGCTTGTTAAACCTTCAAATTCTGAGGCCTAACTCCAGAGATCGTGATTCACTCAACCCTGGGGTGGTGGCCTGATAACCTGCCAGCTTAGTAACGACTCGGGTAGTTTTAACACAGTTGATCCCAAGACCACTTTTAGGCAATCGCTAAGTTGAAGTTCATAGTACTTTGTTCCCAGCTGTGGGACAAAGAGGCGTCAACTCAAATTCTTGACTCCCAGGAAGATCCTCGTAATCTAGTGGGCGAAATCATTAGTCCTTGTACAACTAAGGATGAGGCCAACTGCTAACTCTTCAGATAAAAACACGCAGTCCTCACGTGTTTGGAGAGTTGGGAGGCTTAATTTGGGGTGGTTCACAGATTACAAAGCACTTTCAAAATTCATACAGAAAAGTACACCAGCGTCTGGTCATTGAATCCTTAACAAACTGTTAAGGTAGTTGTGCATTTCAAAGACTGATTCAGAGAGCACATGTTTTACTTAACTCGTTTTACTATTTGGCTTCTAGTAAATGCTAGAATATAAACTCCATGAGGACTAGAATTCTGTGCATTAACTGTTGAGTCCTCAAAACCTGGAACAGTGCCAGGAGCAAAGTAGACAATAAATACTGAATAGTTGAAGGAGAACTCCAGCAGGCAGGCCTGTGATTACAAGTTCCTGCTAAAAACAGAAATTAATATGTGGAAGAGATGCGGTTTTGAGGGATATGTCATGTTACCAAGGAAATGGGAGACCATTCGGACCCGGAATTAGTAAGACCATGAAGGGAAATACTCTTGTTGGATAAGAAAAGAGGAGAAATTGAGGTGTGCTTTGTTAACTCTAAAAATATACCAACCGGGTTGAGAAGGGAATATTTAAAAACCATAGAACTGAAAGATACCAAAGCTAGACTAAAGTTGCAGGGCTTAAATACAAGACTTTGGAGAAAATAGGAGAGTGTCATTTGTTTGACCCAGCAAATACAGAACAATTTTAAACCTTGACACAGTTTTAAAAAAAAAAAAACTGGGCGAGCCTCTAATCTATGGGAAACCTTAGCACCAACAAAACTGATGTTTTAGACAGGTCCACTTGTATTTTCCAAGTTCCTTTTGAGCTGCATAGCAGGGTACCAGGTGCCTGGGTTAAGAAAGAAAGTCCTGGGGCGCCTGGGTGGCTCAGTCGGTTAAGCGTCTGCATTCGGCTCAGATCATGATCCCAGGGTCCTGGGATGGAGCCCTGCATTGGTCTCCCCGCTCAGCAGGGAGTCTGCTTCTCCCTCTCCCTCTGCACCTCCTCCCTGCTCATGCGCTCTCTCTTTCATAAATAAATAAAAATCTTAAAAACAAGCAAAAAAAAAAAAAAGTCTTACAGTGGACACCAAACTGACTAATGTGAAGTCAAATGAGGAAAATATTCACTGAAATGAAATGGCAGCCGTAGGTTGAAGGCCACACTGGGGAGCAAACATGTGACATAGTCACGTCACTTGGAAAGCTTAAACTCATTTGGTGGCTTTTAATGACTCAAAATTTGTTGAGATAGATAGCAGCCCTACCCATCCTCTCCTCCCCTTTCTGGGTCCTGGGTGTAGAGTGAGGTGCAGGCACTGAGGAGGGGAGGATCTCCGTGTTAATCCCTAGAGAAGGGGCAGAAGAGGTGTGGAAAAGTCTTTTGTTTGTGCCTACACTGTCCCCTCCATTTTCTTTTGCCTGCCACAGTACTTCTAGTACTGTGCTTCACTGTGTCTGATTATTTGAGCGTTCAGTGGGAGAGAGGTGGATCAGGAACTGTATAACTGGGTTAAAGGATGCCTGGATAGTTCAATAGTTTCCTGCTTAACGGTTAAAGAATTGTTCGCCTGTTGCAAGGGCTGAGGAGAATCTAGATATAGAGAGTCTCAATCAGCAGTAGGCATTTAGGCCTGGCAGCCTGTGGGCATCCAGGATAGCTGATACTCCATGGTAGGGAGCGGGGATCCAAACACTGTCTTCCACTCTGTCGAGAGTTCCAGATCAAGTCTGAGCAGGTGCAAACCTCCTTCCCACTGATTAACCACCCTGTAAAATCCAGGGTGTGTCCTTCACCTAGGAAGCCACCCTCCTCCCTTCTCCCCTCCCCGATGCCTATCACCCAGCCACCCCACCCCCCCCCCCTCCCCCCCCCCCCGCATCCTCTCCCTCTCCTTTGCCTGGGACAGCTGTTAATAGGAAAATTACCCAAGAAGCAAAAGAAAGATGCCATGCTGATGTGTCATCAGTCCTGGTATATCCATTAAATCAGACTGAGAAGACCACTGGAAAAAGTGAACACATGCGCTCCCTTCCCTAAGGGAGAGGCTAAGAGCCGTCAGTAAAACCAGGCCTTGCCCTCGAGACTCGAGACCGCTTGGGAAAGAAGGTAGTGGGAAGCCAGGAAGAGAGTTTGTTCTAATGCACAGGGATTTAGGGTCATCGAAGAGCCGGCTAACTACACGCTGAATACCCTACTCATCTGGGTTATATCCGTGTTGGCCCAGCTTCCTCCATGGAAAAAGCTGTTGCCACCAGCAGGCACATCCAGTCATCCTGGGAGGAGGACATCTGCCAGGAAACCCTCAGAGAAGAGGTTGGATTTCTTCTGGAATAGCAGGGATTGCTTTTTCCCCTAAGGGGAAATCTAGTGTTTCTGCTATTCTTGTTGCCTATTGTTTTTCCTTTTTTTTTTTTAAAAAAAAAATGTTTTTAAATATTGCTAATCTATATAAATATTTCTCACTCTCCAACTTTCATCTAATCCAGGGGAGTATATTAGATGACTGTGAGATTTCCTTGCAGCCCTTCTGAGAGATTCTAGGATTACATCCTGTCAATACTAAATGTTAACATGTCTTGCAAGAAAATCAATTAGTTATCCAGCTAATCCAGACATCTGGCCTCCTTTCTTACATGGTAAACATCATTAGCAAGCTTGTTACCATTAAACCCTCAAAAGAGGTAAAGCTCTTCCACAAACCAGCCACTTCCCTGTGCATCCCTGCACCTCAGCTGTCTTAGAAGATTGCTTCTCAACCCTGGTTGCACATTAGAATCACCTGGGGGGCTTGTACAAATTATCCATGCCCAGGTCCCATCCCCAACCAATTAAGTCGGAGTCTCCCAGAGCAGCCCTGGGCATCAGGATTTTGTAAAACGCTCCTCAGGTGATTCTTATGTGCAAAGTAGAGAATCGCTAGCTTGGGGCAAGAATCCAAATTGGGTAAAAAAAGAACAGCAGTGGGTGCCTGGGTGGCTCAGTCGTTAAGGGTCTGCCTTTGGCTCAGGTCATGGTCCCGGGATCCTGGAATCGAGTCCCGCGTCGGGCTCCCGGCTCAGCGGAAGCCTGCTTCTCCCTTCCCCACTACCCCTGCTTGTGTTCCCTCTCTCGCTGTGTCTCTGTCAAATAAATAAGTAAATAAATAAATTAAAAATAAATAAATTAAAAAAATAAATAAATTCTCTCTCCCTTAAAAAAAAAACAGCAGTGGGGGCACCTGGGTGGCTCAGTCGTTAAATGTCTGCCTTCGGCTCAGGTCATGATCTCAGGGTCCTGGGATCGAGGACCCGCTTTGGGCTCCCTGCTCTGCAGGAAGCCTGCTTTTTCCTCTCCCACTCCCCCTGCTTGTGTTCTCTCTTGCTGTCTCTCTCTCTGTCAAATAAATAAATAAATCTTAAAAAAAAAAAAAAAAAACAGCAGTGGTAATGCATAAGCATAGACTAGAATCACCACCTGATTTTAGGATAGTCTTTCTCAGTCCTGGCATGACCTCTTCCTTGAACTATCCAATGAAAACACCTCATTGTTCATTCATGTTTTGGTAACAATTTATGAAATTCAGCCATTCTGCACGCCTCATCCCATTGCCCCAACAATGTTGGGTAATTTTCAGGGAGGTGCTATCCTGAGGTGGGAAGAGTGGGTGTTTTGGACTCAGAGCTGGGTTCAAAAATCTGGCTTTCCCACTTACTTGTTGGGCCCTCCTGAGCTAAATGAAGATAACAACATACAAATTCACAAGGTTTAAAAATCAGATGCGGGGCGCCTGGGTGGCTCAGTTGGTTAAGCAACTGCCTTCGGCTCAGGTCATGCTCCCAGGGTCCTGGGATCGAGCCC